GCGCTTTCGGGGGCGTTTTGAAAAACGAGTGGCGCGACCCTTAAACGTTGTCGCACGGACTTCGGACAGTGACAGAAAATCATCGTTTAATGTCCTCTATCATTTAGCGCTCGTTCGATCTCCAATTTCGGACAGTCTGGTCTACTCGTCTCGTTTTTCAGTTTTTCATATCTCAGGAACTAGGCAAACAGTTTTTTTCGGAAAATGTGAAAATGTGCCAGTTTTAATGTGGATTCACAGGCCACTAAAAATCTAAGTGTAGGGTTAGGTCAGTTAATCACTTCTTCCGTTTCCTGGATCATTTATCGGAGAAACTTCATCTAGGCATTGAAAGGAATTGTCCTTCAGCAGTAGCGTTTTTTCCTGCAACAGTGAAAGAGTTTGTTGACCGTGTTGTGGCTCTGACTTTGTATGTGAGAAATTTTGAAATATGTGCCGGACAAGACAATGTTGAATATGAATGTTATTGGAACAATGATGAGTTTGGTTCTGCTGACAAGAATGTTTTTGATGAGTGTCGATTTTAAAAACATTCCGTACACATGGCTGTGAAATGTTGCTCCTGTTATAAATAAATAATTATTGACTATTTTAGTAGCGCAGGAAAGGAGTAATGAAACACACTGAGATTCACAGTCGAAGTAAACTTTATTTCGATCTCTGTCACCAGCTAACCTCAGTTGAAGGAGAGGGGGTTGGTTATTTGCAGGTCAAGCAGACGATCACCAAACAGTAGAATGCGCATAATAGCATGAGTGTATATAGACTCCAAGCAGACGAGAGGAGAGAATTGTCATTGTAAAATTATAATACAACATGCCCCCTCAATTCGATAGCTTCAGGGTATTGCGGCATTTTTGGAGCTTAGGTTTTGTTAGCCCCTTCGTGAGCATATCTGCAGGCATGAGTGATGTTGATAGGTGCTCTAGTTCTAGAGTACCCTCCTTTATACAGTCACGAATTAATTGTAACCTTACCCCAAGATGTTTGGTTCGAGAATTAAAACCTTGGGAGTACCCTAGGCCAATAACATTTTTATTATCATTGAAGATAGTGACTTGTTGGCCACATCTAAAAATTTCATCAATGAGACCATTGAGGTAGATACATTCCTTTACTGATTCAGTGATAAATATGTGTTCTGATTCTGTGGAAGATTGAGCCACTAACTTTTGCTTTCTACTCTCCCACGAGATTCGGTTGCCATCAAGTGTCAAGGCATAGCTAGAGTATGATTTGTAGTCATCGCTGTTTTCGGCAAAGTCAGCGTCAGCATATCCGATCAAGCACACCCCGTACAGAAAAAAGTGGCCTCAGAATGCCTCAAAAATGGCTACTCCGTAGCCATACTCGATCCACCTTGGAACCTCGCGTCCACCAATCTGTAGTCGCTCTGGAGCCGAGCAGTAGCCATCAAGAATGGCTCCGGGAGAGGTAACTTAAAAACGAGAGTAGCCATCGTGGGGCCGTCCCGGGGCGAGCCACGAGCGATTCCAGGGTCGCGGACGAGACGCACTTCAGCCAGGATCGCGCCGACCAGGAGTCTCAGGAGAGCCGTCCAGGGGACAGCGAGGAGACACACTGGAGCCGATAGAGACCCACTTTAGGGACTGCGAGGAGACACAATGGTGCCGGCCGAGAGCCACTTTTGGGACAGCGAGGAGACACAATGGAGCCGGCCGAGAGCCAGTTTAGGGACTGCGAGGAGACACACTGGAGACGGCCGAGAGCCAGTTTAGGGACTGCGAGGAGACACAATGGAGCCGGCCAGGAGCCAGTTTAGGGACTGCGAGGAGACACAATGGAGCCGGTCAAGAGCCACTTTCGAGGCAGCCAGGAGACACAATGGAGACGGCCGAGAGCCAGTTTAAGGACAGCCAGGAGACACACATGAAGACGGCCGAGAGCCAGTTTAGGGAAAGCCAGGAGACACACTGGAGACGGCCGAGAGACCGGTATCGACATACGGATAGCCCATTTGGGGAGGACTTACTGCGGGGACTGTACTGTAGTGTGTGTCTGTTCATGACACTGCCAGGAATATGACAAAGGAAAACGACAAGCACTAAAGAGATCATTGGAAGTAATATTTATTTACAAAATCTGTCACATACTTGTGATTGTTGACTATTACATTCACACAGAGTCCAGTAATGCTTTGCACAGGAATTTTATCAACAGTAAGTATCAGTAACTTCATACTTCAAAGTAGAAGCAATATCGTATTGTGGATACACTGTTTGAAAAGCAATAGAACAATTCAATCTTTTAACCATTGCGTAGACAGTAAGGCATTCACAAGCATTTACACAGTTTGAAGTACACTCCTTTAAAAATGCCTGAATGATACCACGTTGCTTCAAATTATCTAGAGTATATGTTATAAATGATGAATCTTTTTTTGATTCAGTTTGAGGCATGGTACAAAACAACTGGGTGTTAATTTTTAGCCTTTTAAAATTCCACAAGTTATTCCCTGATTTAACAAGTGGACCTATTACAAAAATGTTATCTCCAATACATTGATGAATGTTAAGCCTAGCATTACAAGATGACATTTTTTTACACAGATTTTTCAGTTTTGAAGGTTGTAGATTGTCGATCATGGTAGGCAATTGCGTTAACAACTCAAAGTAGTTTTGGACCTGCACGCCTGCTTGTTGGGTTCCATGAACTACATGTTTCAACGCACCATTCAGATTTTCAAACATAAAGCAAGAAGATGTCCATAAGGGACCTAGCTCCCTCACCACCGAGGGCAGATGTCGCAAAACATGCAAGTTATATGTCATTCTTTTCATCCCATAAATTATCTCATATTGTTTTACAAATTCATCTAGTAATAGCTGTGATAAAATAATATCATCATCAGTAACACTTTGTTTACAAAGAAGGACAATAGCTAAATGAAGCAATTTAAAGTGATTAAAATGAAGTTGATACAACACTAAGTTTAAGATTGGCAAGCTGTAATAGAAGAAAAATGCCATAAATTCTGATGCTTTCCAAAACTTAATTTTACTTTGTGACTGGGGAATTCGTTCGATGCAATGCGGAGGTTTGATTTTACAAAGAAGATCACTAACAACATCGTTTCTTGCAGAAACATTGAAATCTTCATTTAGGGACTCCTGAAACCATAATTGCATCACCAATGTCTTAAAAACACCTTGAAATAAAGTATGCATAATATCAACAGATGTTGATGGCATAAGAGAAGTAAGGATCATATTTTTAAGTATAGTTGGACCTAAGATACCTCGAACATCTCTCACATTCTCATTATTCTCCCTTAAACGGCGCAACTCATCAAGATCCCCCAAATAATTAGCCTCTGTTCTCAAATGAAGATTCTCAGAATATAAATGTACAAATACATTAGAAGTTCTTTCAGATTTCTCACCTCGAGAAAAACATTTTGGACAACCCATTAAAATTTATCATACCTAGAAACACAGCTTTGGCAGGGGCATCAAGGGTGCCAGCCAACATACCAATTTTGTATAGTAAAGGTTCAACTAAACCAGCAATTTTAAAGAGAACACCATTTTTTAGAGCACATAACTCATCATACAATGGCTTCAAAAAGAGATTGGGATCAGGTTTACCAGCACCAAACCACAATCCACCTAATAATACAAATTGTTTTTTAAAACGAAGCCATGGTGGGAGCTCATTGATACTTAGGTAAAACGGCCATATCTCATACTTGGATGACTTGAATACAGAAAAGCCATCAGTATTCAGTATGTTCAACGCCTGCAAAGAATCTCTGTGCCTCCAAGTAACATTGACCATCATAAATATCCTCAATGCCATTATTGTTAGTACTGATTCTATCTTTTACATATGACAAGTTTTTAAAAAACCCTGGAACCTGGAAAAGTTTTTTAAGCTGCTCAGTAACTGAAACACTAATAAAGAATTGAACTCCATGATTGCCAGGGCCGCACTTTTCACATATTGATCCCTTTGAAGGTAATGCTGAAGTACAGACATTACAATAATAATGCCTCGTCCCACTCTTATTATACATCTCAAAGTATTTGTAGAAATGGTGCAAAGAGCTAACTAATTTGTTGTCTGCAGGAAGGATAAGCTTGAGAAGAGAAAGAAAATCTTGCAGGCATGATGCAGATAACTGATGAGATAAAGTAAAGGTTAAGATGGCCAGCAGAACCAC